AAGCATCTAATGATCTCAGCTGGCTTTGGCATAGAAGATTGTCACATTTGAACTTTCGAAATATAAATAAACTTGTAACTGAAGATTTAGTTCGAGGGTTACCAGTACTAAAATTTGACAATGATTCTTTGTGTGCAGCTTGCGAACAAGGAAAACAACATCGAAAAGGTCATCCGATTGTGATAGATTCAAAAATAGTAGATCCATTGGAACTTCTTCACATTGATCTATGTGGACCATCAACTGTTGCAACAATAAATAAAAAGCGGTATATTTTAGTTGTTGTAGATGATTTCTCTAGATTCACGTGGGTGTTTTTTCTCAGGTTAAAATCTGAAGTTGCTCAGACGATGATTGATTTTATCAAAAAGATTGAAATTAGTCTGAAAAGAATGTACGAAAAATTAAAAGTGATAATGGTTGGAGTTTAAAAATCAAACTCTTGACATTTTTCTCACAAGCAAAGGCATTTCGCATAATTTCTCATCACCATATACTCCACAGCAAAATGGTGTAGTTGAAAGAAGAAATCGATCTCTATGTGAAGCTGCCAGAACCATGTTAACATATGCGAATCTACCTCAATATCTTTGGGCAGAAGCTGTGTCCACCACATGTTTTACTCAGAATCGATCATACATTCATCGAAGATTCAATGAAATAATCAATAATCAATAATCAATAATCAATAATCGGAAACCTAATGTAAAATTCTTTCATGTTTTTGGTTGCAGGTGCTTTATTATGAATCTCAAAGATAATTTGTCCAAGTTTCAAGCTAAAGCTGATGAAGGCATCTTCTTAGGATATTCACAGAATTCAGTTGCATACAGAGTGCTTAATAAACGAACAAGAAAAATTGAAGAAACTTTCAATTTAACATTTGATGATTACTATCTTAAACAAATTGATAGTAAATTCGATAATAAACCAATACTTGTGGATTCAAATACTCAAATTGATAATTCTGAAATTAATGATTTTGATTATGACTTAATTTTCGGAATTCCTGACAGGGCAATTGATGCAGAAAATAACGCTCCTGATAATCAAACATCAGAATCCTCAAAACATACTGATGAATCAACGATAACTACAACATCGATAACTTGTGAAAGCACACCAGATGTTCATATGGAGGAGGAACACACAAGTATTCATGAAGATTGTCTGCCAACTTTTGAGGGGGAAAGAAAATGAATCATCAAAGTTATCGCAAAATCATCAAGTTGAGGGGGAGCATTCGCAAAATCAACAGGAACATCAGTTGAGGGGGGCATTCACAAATCAACAGGAACATCATTTTGAGGGGGAGTATCAAAATGCAGATCATGTTGAGGGAGCATGATGAAACAGAGACAATTAATCTTGATAAAAATGCAGAATTTCATGAATTTAATGATAACTTTTCTGTTGCAGGATCTGAAAATGAAGATATGTATGAAGATGCACCATTAGAATTTGATCCAAATTATCCACCACTTGAGAAATGGACAAGAAATCATCCAAAAGAACAGGTAATTGGTAATCCACAAGAAGGTGTGTTGACTAGAGCTCAACTTCGTGCGAAAAATGAGGTACTGAATGCAAACCAAGAACTTTGTATGTTTAATGTCTTTATTTCGAAAATAGAGCCAAAAACAGTAAAGAATGCTATGGAACACTCAGATTGGGTTGTTGCTATGCAATCTGAATTGGCTGAATTTGAACGAAACAAGGTTTGGAGATTAGTTTCTAAACCTTCTGATGTTTCAATTGTTGGATTAAAATGGATTTTTAAAAACAAAACCGACAAAGATGGCAATATTATTCGAAATAAAGCAAGACTAGTGGTTAAAGGTTATTCGCAACAAGAAGGCATTGACTATGAAGAAACATTTGCACCTGTTGCAAGACTTGAAGCAGTTCGCATATTTTTAGCCTATGCAGCTCACAAAGACTTTGATGTTTATCAAATGGATGTTAAATGTGCATTCTTAAATGGAAAACTCGAAGAAACAGTGTATGTTGAACAACCACCAGGATTTGTAAACAATGAGCATCCTGATCATGTTTATATTTTAGATAAAGCTGTATATGGGTTAAAACAAGCACCAAGGGCCTGGTACGCAACACTTACAAATTTCTTGAAACAATCTAAATTTAAACAAGGATCAGTCGACCCCACATTATTTCGCAAGAAAGTTGGGTGTCATCTAATGCTTGTTCAAATTTATGTTGATGATATTATCTTTGGTTCAACTGATCCAGCATTGTCAATTGAATTTGAAAATTTAATGAAAAGTCAGTTTGAAATGAGCATGATGGGAAAAATTAATAATTTTCTTGGTTTAAACATAAGACAGAACAGGGAAGGAATCTTAATCAATCAAGAAAAATATATGAAGAACTTGCTTGAAAAGTTTGGAATGCTTAATAGCACAAAACTCAGAGTACCTATGGCAGTAGGAATAAGACTAACTCCTTTGTTAGATGCTCCTGCTGTTGATCTAACATTATATCGTAGCATGATTGGGTCTTTATTGTACTTAACTGCAAGTAGACCTGATATTATGTTTTCGGTTTGTTGTTGTGCTAGATATCAAGCTAATCCAAGAGAACCTCATTTGACTGCAGTGAAAAATATTTTTCGATATCTAAAGGGAACCGTTTCTTTAGGACTTTGGTATCCTGCGAAAACAGGATTTTTCATTCAAGCTTTTCCAGATTCCGATCTAGGAGGATGTACTTTGGATAGAAAAAGTACGACTGGTGGATGTCAACTATTGGATGGAAAGTTGGTGAGCTGGCAATCAAAGAAACAGACTTGTGTGGCTATATCAACCGCTGAGGCAGAATACATATCTGCGGCTGCTTGCACTTCGCAAATTATTTGGATTCAGAGTCAACTTCGTGATTATGTAATAAACATGAAAAAGATTCCTTTGTATTGTGATTCACAAAGTGCGATTCGCATTTGTCACAATCCAGTGCAACATTCAAAGACAAAACACATTGCTCTTCGATATCATTTTATCAAAGATCATGTGGAAGATGGGAATATTGAAATTCATTTTGTCAAAACAACTGAACAACTTGCTGATATTTTTACAAAACCTCTTGATGAAAAATCATTTGTTAGAATTTTAGCAGGTTTGGGGATGATTAATGCGAATTCAATTTCATCAACACAAGACTAAAAGTTTTGTTCAGCAGATATGAGTCAATATTATTCAGAGGTTACTGTTCATTCAGAGGCTTCGCATGGCTTCGCATCCACATCTTTTCGCATCTGAGCTCATAACAACTAAGGTAAGATTTACGAATAATTTTTTTTTTCTTTTGAAAAATCAAAAATCCAAAAAGATTTTTTTTTTTGTTTTTACTTTTGAAAAATCAAAAATCCAAAAAGATTTTATTTTTTGTTTTTACTTTTGAAAAATCAAAAATACAAAAAGATTTTATTTTGTTATGCTTTCAATTTTGCAAAATTAAAAATCCAAAAAGATTTTATTTTTTTTGTTCTTTAATTTTGAAAAATTCAAAAATCACAAAAATATTTTTGTTTTCTTTGTTCTTTCAACTGTGTGCTGAGAATTTAATGCAGGGCTAAAATGCGAAGAGGTCATACATTTTTATTTCTATGGGAAGGTATTAAATTTTTTAAAAACTAGTTAGGATGTCCCTAGAAGCATGCTGCTGTATGTAGACCAAAAGCCTCAACACGACTCTATGTGTGAAAAGAAAGCCTTAATGAAATTATCATGAAAATTTCTTCCCAAAAAGGCTTATATTCGCATAAGTCAAAACGAGCTACCTTACTCTTCTCAAATGAGTTAAGAGTTTTCTGTTTTGTCCATTATAACAGAGGTACACTTCGATTCTTATCCAATCTTTTTAAACCAAACAATTCTTACACTCCAAATTTTTTTTGAAGAGATTTGTCCTTGAGGTCTTTGATCAAACCAATCAAAACCTAGACAAATCACAACTCTGTGTTTAGGATCTAACATCATGAGTCCGTGATGAAAGTGAAACCCAAAAATCATAAACCTTAAGGAATTGACGGGGAACTTTGTTCCAGATTTTTACGAAACCTTTGTTTCAGTATCAAAAATTTCGAAACTTCAAATCATATTCAATTCGCATGTGTGGTCTTGATCAAATATTCACAACCAAGAATGTTTGTTACCCAACAAGATCCAGAACAAATTTTTTTTGAATATGATTTCAGTGTAAGTTTTATTCGCAAATCCTTGTCATGATAAATATTTTCACAAGCCAACTTGTCACTGACTACACTGGTCAAACAAGTAATTTCATTTACAATTTCTCACCTTATGTTAAGGCTGATATGTAATGAAATTTCAAACCAATCCAAAATGACTTTTAAAAGAAGCCCTTTGATACTTCTCTACAAGTATTCGATTGTAATTCACGGGAAACTACACAAGCTGTTGATTATCTCTCTTGATGATTAACGAAGCAACCTTTGCCTGGGGTTTTACTGCATTCATGTCAAATTGAATTTTTGACATCACAACATTACAAATTTTCTTGTTTCTTATCTTATTCGTTGGCACAATGCACACACGAAATCCTTGAGGTTCTGAGTAAAACCAACTCAGACTGATGATTTCGCAAGTCTGGCATATGACTTCACTTTAAATCCCAAAAGTGAACGAGCCTTGCTTCCATGCGAAGGGTTTTACCGGTTCGAATTCTATAACGGATACTTGACAGGCTGTATACTCAAAATGGTTGGTATTCTATCCGGTTTTCGAGGAGATGTGACAGTTACTTTTTGGAACATAGTTATCTTTTGCAGTCATGATCCGAGTTTCAAGGTGCCACATCGGATAACATTAAATGTATCCCGCTTTAATTTCAAATCAATTTTGAGTAACCTATAAAAGGGGGATCAAGAACACTATGTACGGTTACGCAAACAAGAACTCTCACAAAACTTCAAAGATTAAACCTTGATCCAAACTTCAACTTTCTTTCTCAAAACCCTAACAATGGCAGCCACTAATTCCAACACTGATGAGGTTCTTTCTCAATCACTGATGAAGATTCAAAGCACCAATTACCAAGTTGATCCAAAAGTTTCTGCTTATCCAGAAGAATTGAAGATGCTTATCGTTGCTCTGAAACGATCACCTTTATCAACTGCCATGTTCAGTTCATTCTCGGTTCCAATGGTGTGGCTATCTCGTGCAGCTTCAACGCATCATACAATCACACGGCGGATGTGATTACTTTCAATTTAACCAAACAAAAGGGTTAAACTGTCCAAGAACTTGTTTGTGGAAATCTTGCAGATTCCAAACAACCCTCCGTTTGTCAAACCTGTCAACTCGCAGATCATTCATATGTTCAATGAGATGGGGCATCAACCGGAGTTGGAGAAAATAAGTGACTTCCGAAAGTCTGGATTGCCATGTATCTGGAATTTCCTATTTGGTATTTTTCTAAGGTGTCTTACAGGAAGATCAGTCGGACTGGATAGAGGAAGAGTGGAAGTATATGCTATGGTAATGGGCATATACTATGATATCAATGTTGATTATGCAACTCAGCTGTGGAAGGAATTTGTTAAAAGCCTGGAAAATACAAATTCGGAGAAGGGGATTTCTGTGCAAGATACTGGAGCTTAATCCTGGAAAAAGTCTATGAGAAAGAAGCAATTCCAGTGATGACAGATGTTGAAGTTGCTGAATTTTCCTTCTATCAATTTCCAAAAACTGTAGAAGATGATGAAGCAATTTTTTCTCGTGTGGCTCGTATTCCAGATGCGATGCTTCGCAAAGTTTCTCCAACTCACAAAGTTTTGGTGAGATATTTGCGAAATATTGATACAGCTGATCAGACTGGAGTATTACCAGACGTTGCTACTCCATCAAAGAAAAAGAAGGTTAGCAAGAAAAATGCGAAGGGTTCATCCTCACCAACAGTACAAGATGAAGCTATTCCAACCGAAAAACTTTATCAAAATCGAAGAAGGAACTCTTACCTTCTAAGTCTGGGGTACTGAAGCAAATTCGCAAAGCTGAAGTGAGTAGTAAAGGCGTTACTATTCGCAGTATTCCTGCACCGGTGTCTCCAGCAAGAAAAGACAACGGGCTGAAGATGTTGCAAAATATGCAACGCACGCTTGTCAAACGGAGAAAGATGGTGATTCGCAACGAATCATCTGATGAAGAAGTAGTTCCGGAAACTCCACCTGTCACATCTATGGTAAATGTTTCTTTACCAATGATTCACACTTCGCAAATTTCTACCACTATTCCACAAACCAAACCACTCGAAATAGTTCTCACCAAATCAGTTTCTGAGGAGGTACCTATTTCCGATACGGTTGTTAACGTATCTGATACGGGGGCACCTATCCTGAGTGTTGCACCAACAATCCAAACATCTTTACCCATTTCATTACCTGTTACAACTTTATCCAACACTTCATCCATATTTGAACATGCCCTTCAAAACCCATTCACAACACTTTTTCCATCTCAGTCACCCGAAAATCCTCAACCTTCGCAACAATTGTCTGATACTGAAGTCGAAGGAGGTGCCTTTGGAGGGATACTTGATGATATTCCTTTTGATTCAAACGAAGAAGATATTCCTGATCATATGCTGATGACAGGAAAACAGTTTAAAATTCTGAATCAGAAGTTAAAGACCATTATCAAAACGCAAGTTGATTCTGGTAGAATGTCTTCAATATCAGCCATGGAGGTAGATGTTATGCTAAAAGGAGCTAAGAAACGGATCATGGAGAAGATTGATCAATCAGATAAAAATAATGAGCTCAGACTTGAATCACAAGGGAGCAATTTTACTTCTGCTGTTCAAGATCTCAAAGCTGCTACAAAAGAACGTCATATTCTTTTTGTACAAGATGTCAAGAAAGTCCGTGAGGATGTCAACTTCAAGATTCAGGAGTTGAGTCTGAACTTGCGAAGGATCTTCAGGATGTTCATACGAAACAAGCAGATGTTCAAAAGCAAATTGTGGAGATTTCTTCTCAACTTCCAAAGCTTACTGTTCTTGAAGCTCATAAAGCCACAACAACGGAGAAGTATAATCAGCTGATAAAGTTAGTCACTGAGCTTAAAATAGCAGTTTCGCATTCTTCATCAACTTAAATCCTTACTCCTGAATTCTTGTCTCTAAAGATTAATACTTTAGAACAAGCTATTCAAAAAGCTCTTGCTCCACTTACGAATTTCACTTCTTTACTACCGAAGAGTGCTCCACATGTTTACACAGGGGTGCAAGGGGGAGAGAAAAGTCGAAGTAAAGAAGAGAAGACAAAAACAGTTGGAAAAGTGATATCGACTCAACTTGTAGCTACTATTCCTATTCCTATGAAACCGATTTCTTCAACTACAATTACCACAAAAACAGTTTCCAAAGGTATTGTTATTGGAGAAAACGAAGGAGGTTCAAGCTCAAAATCTCAGAAAGATGTTGTAGGAAGAGGAAAAGGAATATTATACGAAAAGTCAAAGGAGGAGTTGAAAGCTGATGCAGAGGCTGAGATGGAGAGGATGAGACAAGTTCAAAGCATCATGAGACAAAGGGCAAGTGATCCTCCCTCCATGAACAAAGGAGATCCTGTGAAACTTTACTCTTATGAAACAATAGAGTCCAAAGTTGTGTGTAGGGAGATGTATGAGTTCGAGAAGAAGCCGAAAAGAAGTTATGATATTGCGAACTCAGATCATTGTCAATTGGATTTCCCGATAAACGAAATGTTGTTCATCAATGCTCAATATAAGACAGTGAGAAATTTGATAATCCTGATGATTGTACTCATATGAAAATCAGATTTCATGCAGTCTTGGGGAAGAATCCAGATGAAGTTTAGTCTTTAATGAAGATCAAAAAGGTGCTGACAATAAAGAAGGATGTTTTGTTTGAAGATATGCTTCAAAATTTTCGGTATTTTGTTATCAGAGCAGACAACAAACAATATGACTTCACAGTAGCTGATTTTCCATTGATGAACTGCAATGATTTAATTCAAGTAGCTCTGATCCTGAAGCATAAGGAAGAAAACAATCTTAAAGGCTCTGAGACAGATGTGTTCAAGGTTGGCTTCGCACATGTGAAGACATTCATCGATAACTATTTCGACTGTTTGGCTCTTACAGATGAAGAATTAGCGAATGTGCTAGGAAGAGAAGTAAAAGTTCCATGGGAGGATACTTTGACTCAATCTGCTTTGTCGAAGTATGTTGTTGGTGAAATATGCCTGAAACCATTTGGCATGGTGTTTTCGGGAAGGGATACAAAAGGAAAACCGAAGAAGTTTTTGTTCAAAGTCTCAGAGATTGAAAGATATAATTCTTCGCAATATACGCACTTCATTGTATGTATGAATAACTGCAAGAAGAATAACGAAGGAGACAAGAAAGATCTGAAGAAGGTGATCTCCTGGTATGGAGAAGTGCGAAGGACAATTCACTCTGCAATTCAAAAGCTTTTGAGTTAAATTGCATCGACTGTTTACAAAGGGGGAGAATGTTGATGTAAATTGTAAAAAGTCGAAAATAGTGTATTGTGTTGTTTCGCATTTTATGTTATTTTACTAAGTCATTTTGTATGTGAAGTGAAGATGTATAGACTTAGTATATTTTTTGTATGTTCCCTATAAATAGGGACTTAGGCTAGAAGTAGAGAGACGCGAAAGCGAAACACTCTTCTGCTTATTTTGTAATCAGTCTTAATCAATATAAGATCTGATTAATATTTACTCTTTGTGTTCTTCATCTTTAATCGTTCAAATCTATCTTTTCTTTTCTAAATTCTCGATAACAATTCTCATCATTATCCCCGAAATAGCCCGACTTCCAGGTGGAGAGAGTAACAAGTGATGGAATCATTAGATAAACTAAACACAGATCAAATCCAGTTTGTTTCTCATCGCTCATTCATCTCCTTTAGCCATTAGATATATATTGGACCTTTTATACAAGTGGAAAACCTTTTGGACCCTATCCAAAATTTGTTAAATACCATAGGGATCAATCTTGCAGTTTTGTCTATAATTAATAAAAGTCCATCATCATAAATTAAGTAATGAACAATATAATTTCAAATTAGAGTTTACTATTATGATATTTTTGTTTATTTCAGTCTACCATATAGTGGAACATTTGATCCCATATAATGATATTATTAAATGTTTCATTTGGAAATTCCTACAAATGCAATCCACGAATCTACCTAGTTGAGTTACAACTTGAAAACATAAAAAGAAAACTTGAGTTACGGCCTAAATTTCATCATTGAATCAACGGTCGTACCATATTTTCCATACATGTTCACGAACTGTTTATGTATAAATTTTGGTTGAAACCTATATAAATTATTTTGGTATGGATTTGGGAACTTTGGCTCAAGTTCTATGTATTGGCATAATAATTAGAGTGAATTATATGAATAATCTTTATGGTTTAAGGTAATTTGTACGTTTGGTTTCTAACTTGTTTTTTTAACTCGGAAGGTCCCTATAGCTTTTTTTTTTTTTTTTTGTGCGTTTGGTCCTATCTTACTTAAAAATACTATTTTATCATTATTTTTTTAATTTATTTAAATAAAGTGGGGTAGGTAAGGTAAAGTGAGGTGGAAGTGGTGTTGGGAGTGTGTTTATTTAAATAAATTTAAAAATGAAGGGCAATATAGTTTTTTAGGTAAAACAAAGACCAAGCCCGTAACAAAAGCAAATAGTAAGGACTTTCCAAATTAAAAAATAAATTAGAAATCAAACGTGCAAATTATCCCAAATCATAGTAACCATTCGTGTAATTTAATATAATAATTAAGAGTCGTTTCTTATTTAACTTGATTCTTGGGGTTTGTTTATCTCAAAGGGACAGAGGTAGGATAAATGACAAACCATACATTTAAGGCACATAAATGAGGGGATATACTGCCAATTAATTGCAAAAACTCAACTCTCATTTATGAGTCTACTGTAATATCTCTTATTCACACTCAGATTTAACATTGATTTATACAAATAAAAGAATAAACATTAGATGTTATATAGTCCATTGTAACACCAAATTAGAATTATTAGAGCACCTAATGTGGACATATTAGGTGATATGTTAAAATTTTTAGTAATTTTTTAAATTTACACATATATTTAGGAATTAACGATATCAAACAAATTATATAAACTAGAAAAGGTGCCCCGCGTTGCGGGGGTTAGATGGTATTCGTTTGTAATTCAGAATCGAGCATTAAATTGTAGAAAGTATATTAGTTGGATAAAAGAGTAGAGTACATTGTGATTTCGTGTAGTGTAGCCTATATTTAACCAAGTTCTTGGTTTTAGATTTGGTCCTAGTATAGCAAGGTTTGATAGTGATAAGAAACATTAAAAACATTTTTGGTTCCTGTCTCCTCCCTTGAAACCCTCTACAAATCTTCTCCCTTTTTCCCTGTCATCTTGATTTGCTATATTTATCTATAGTATCTATCACTATATTTCTTCCTCCCACAAACAACTTTAAATCTTTTTTACTAATTTTTTTACAACCATTCTCCCCCAATCTACAACTCCATATATGTTATAAAAAAGATTTTTAAGATCAATTTATCTACATTTTGAACATTGCAATGTCCCTATAAAAAAAAACAAATCATGTCATCCAACATGCTTCTAATGTTTCAGTCATCAATCCAGAAAGAGAGTAAACAACATCTTGATCATTACTTTATAAAAGTAAAAAGGCATGCATCAGAGTTGCAAAGACATGAAACATGAGAAACATGGTGAGATTAATGAAAGTTAAACCTCGGAAACCTCAAAGTGTTCATTAAACATTAACAAATAAATGGTAATTCTTATATTTAGAATCTGGAAAATGAAACTATAATAGTTGTAAGTAATTTCATTACAAAAGTACAAAAACCTAATTAATTGGATTTCATGGGTACAAAAACTAACGTAAAAAGCTGAGTGATTTGAATATATATAATATGTGAAAACAAATTCTTGATTGGTGTTTGATTTCAAAAGGTGATACAAATGCAAACAACAAATCTCATTATATGAATTGAAGCGGGTATTTGAATCCATGAACCCCCAAAATTGAAATCATAGTGACAATATATGAAGCTAAAATTAATGAATTTAAAGATTGAGTCGCCACTAAACAATGGGGAAAGCCACATATTTTCTAGAAAATTTGTCCTTTTTTTTCATCCAGTTCGACACCTTTTCTTTGTTGGAGTCATTGCTTTCCTAGTTGCTTCATCATAATAATAAAATCAAAAATACATCGAACAAAAGAAAATTACAAAAAACAAAAACAATTCTACAAAGGCTTGATTGACATACCATGTGGTCAGAAAATTAAATTTAATTTATTTCTACATGTTCTTCTAAGAAGAGCACGTTTTCATTTGTCGCATTTAGTTGTAAATGAAAATCATTCATTACGATACTTCTGAAAATCTTTATCTAAAATTTCATTCCAAAATTATTTCTCTGTTATCGTCACTTGAACCTGATTTATCAAATATTCTTGAACTTTATATATAGCTTAGAACTTTATATATACCTTACCAATGCCAAATTTTGAAAATTTTGGATTACATTTTTCCAAAAGAAAGCAAGTTATTTTCATTTTGGGTAAATTATATTTTTGGCCCACGATTATAACTGATTTTTTCAATTTTTATCCAAAATAACTTTTCTCTTGTAAATTTGGTCATTGTTTGAGGTTTTGTAGCGTTTTTGGTCCCTATAATAACAAAATGTGACCAAAATTGAAAAAATCAGGGACGAAGTTAGTCTTTTTATCTGAAAGAATGATTAAAAAAAAATTACAAACAATTCAACACTCCAGCTTTAGTTTCCAACCTCTACACCAATTTGAGACATATTTGTTGCATTAAAACATTGTACTTTCAAAGTACAATGTTTAATAAAGAAACATAATTTATGTTATTTGCCATAATATTCAATTTGTTTTTTTCGGCACTCAATGACAATTTTTTTTTTTTTATTTCAGGTATCTAGTTCCTCAGTGTAGTGGTAACGCTAAAATCATAACTTAAAATCATAAGCATTAATATTTCTTCACATACGGAGATTATGTTATGTGGTTATGTGGGAATATGGATTGCATTAAAAAATGAACATTAATAATGTTGGTAGATAAGCTAAAACTGTGAAAAATGCATTGTAATTTGAGAGTACAATAACGTAGTGTCCAACACCTTGAGTGAAAAAATATGTAAGATCTACATCAGTCAACCCACCAACTGTCTCTTTAACCCTACACTTTCTGATTATATTTAGTTAGAAAACACAATGTGTTCTTTTTTTTCGTTTTAGTTTTAGACCATTCACAATAAAAAGTCATAAAGTAGAAGGACCAATATCATAACTTACAGTAAATATAAATAAATAAATAAATGTACCTCAACAACAACATTAAATCCGTGACTTTATATTAAATAAAATATGATATTTCTCATTAACTATCCATAAATTAAATTGTTTGTTAAATGGATTCGTATCAAACTAATTACTTTTTAGGTTTGTAAAAAACATGTTCAGTTAACATCTTGCATGTTCGTTTTTTTTGTTTAATGAGGTTTATAAATGATTTTAATGGTTCATTCTTTAACATAGTATGTTTGATAGAAGCACATAGGGAATACAAAATAACAAAAGTTTTTTATTGTAAAATCTCTTATGTCTTCTTGTCCCACAAAAATAGGAAGAATATCAATTAATGTCACAAGTAGATGTCAAAATAACGGGTATCAGATGTCAAGTGATCATGACTATTAATTAAGCTTTCATATTTGCAAAAGGTGTTACAATCTAATGTCTTTATTCAATAATCAATGTTTTATATTAGCAATACATCCTAATTTTTTTGAAAGGTGACAGTGGTATAATCCATTCAACCTTATAGTCTTTATGATGTTACCCTAATCTTGTTAGGCTATAAAATTTTCTAATATCTAGACTTTATTGAATAGTTTAATTATTTTTCCTCATTTGCAATATAAACAACTACTCCATGCCGAATAAGATCTTACCAGCAACTATATTTGAAGTTTAGGATCATAAAAGAAGATAGTATTGTCTTCTTTCTTGTTTCCTAAAATAAAATTGTTGGCCTCATTGAGGCATTTCATCGAATAGGTTAAGTGCAAGTTTGAACAATATAATCGACTTGCAGAAAACATATCGTTAGTAAGTATGAAGCTTCCTTCATCATTAATTTCAAATCTGTGAAATAAGCTCACCTATGAGGTGATGAATCTCTTAGTCTTCAAATAAGTTCTACAAGAACCTCCACATGAATTTTTGTTCAATAATAATACAGATAAATAGTGGTGGTTAAGAAAAGCAAAACCAAATTTAACAAATACATGCAATGTCCACCATAACTCCAACCTAAACCGGTAAAATGTTCCACCAGCAACAAATAATTCATAATTTAAAAGATGTTATCCAAA